TGTTAGCTGATGCACAACCAAATTTCGAAATTGCACCTTGTGTATTCTAGCACTCAACAGTAAGTTGAGACCCCGACTGAGTAAAAAATAAAGAAACGTGTCCAGGGGCCCTAGGCAAATGCCTATGTGGTTTATGCCCAGGGCTGGCCCTGCAAAACATGTCAATTAATTAGCCAACAAATCTCTCCCATTATGTCTGCCGCCTTCAAGCACTACAGAGTCACCAGCGCCAAAGAAGAGCATATTTTATACATAGCCTATGAGTCCTCATATAAACACCTTTAAAATAAAGCACTTTTAAAAACTCATTTAGGCCTATATGTTTCATTAAAAATGCATTGTTTTCGGTGCCTAAAAATGTGTTGGTGCCCTTCGAGGCCCACAGAGGCTAATGCGGGTGTATACATCCTCTTTAAACATGCGGGAAAGATAAATATTAAATCTGTTTTCACAAAGGGGGCCGTTAAGTAGGCCTAGACATCGCGCTGATATGCATAACAAAATTAATTAGGTAGTGTTCGCAGCATCCAACTCCTGGACAAATAACTACTTCTAAAGCACACCTTCTGGGCATACTGAACATATGCTGAAATTATCCTTAATTGACTAATTACATAAATTACTCATTAATTTTTTACAGCACATCAATTATAAAATATATATCAATTAATTTTGCATAAATTAAGGCGGCACACCGCTGAAGAAGGAGGTAGGGGGATGAAGGCGCAGGGAGGGGGCCCACACATGTGTTGGGGGTGCGGGGAAAGGGGTCGTCTGTTTGTTTCGAGAGTCTAATAATTATTTGTTCAGCTTAGGGCAGGATGTTATTCCTCTGTCTCCCATTTTAGAAGAGATGTGGATAATGGCAATTATGATAATAATCTTTAAAGACCCCTCACGAAGTCATCAGGGCCATAGCGGCAGAGCGAGACATTTAAATCAATTAGCCCTATTGTTTCAACGGGAAAATTAGCCGGTTTGGGAGTGGTAAGGCTTAGGCCCTACCGTTGGAGTAATGGGAAATGATTTAGTGGTGACGCATAATGCTCCATGATTGCTCTATTTCCCCATAAAACAGCGGGTGGGGTGGTGGTGATGGCGTCTCCTTGTTGTCGTTAAAAGTTATTGGAAACTCAGTCAAGTTCTGGCGAACCTATATAATATGCTTCATAACAAAAAAGTGGCTTTTTGGTTGGTGCCATCACAACATAAATGTGGTCCTCATTTAGTAATTTAAGTGGGCTAGTTATTAAGGCCGGCCTATATTTGTTTCACTCATTGGTATTTTGACCAATCAGATCAGCTCTGAAAAAGATCTACATTTTTACATTTTAGTCATTTAGCAGACGCTCTTATCCAGAGCGACTTACAGTTAGTGAATACATATTTTTTTATACTGGCCCCCCCGTGGGAATCGAACCCACAACCCTGGCGTTGCAAACGCCATGCTCTATCAACTGAGCTACATCCCTGCCGGCCATTCCCTCCCCTACCCTGGACGACGCTGGGCCAATTGTGCGCCGCCCCATGGGTCTCCCGGTCGCGGCCGGCTCCGACAGAGCCTGGATTCGAACCAGGATCTCTAGTGGCACAGTTAGCACTGCGATGCAGTGCCTTAGACCACTGCGCCACTCAGGAGAATACATCTATGTGAAATGATCTGATGTGATTGGTCAAAAGACCAATTAGTGGAAAAAGATCAGAAATGGGCTGTCTGTGTGAACTCAGCCAATTTGTCTCCGTGGCTGCATTTACACAGGCAACCCAATTCTGATCTTTTTTTTCACTAATTGGTCTTTTGACCAATCAGATCAGCACTGGAAAAGATCTGATGGGAAAATATCTTATATGATTGGTCAAAAGACCAATTAGTGGAAAATAAAATCAGAATTGGGCTGCCTGTGTGAACGCAGCCCATGTCGAGTAATTGAATTACACATTCACCTCGGAAACAGTTTTTCAGAGAAATTACAAGGTGAAGATCATTTGGCACGGGACAGTTGTAGCGCAGTGGCTGGTAAGCGGGCAAGACCGTTGATGCTCTACCGGGCAATGGACACTGGGCGGCAGTGGTCAGCTCTCTCCATCATTTCCCTCTTTCTACCTCCCCTCCCCGCCTCTCAGCTATAATGTTCTGCACGTGCCACACCATTGGTTATGCACCTGCCCTGGCCATGCAAGGCCAGTTTATTTGCAAGAATATTAGGGTTGTGGAGTTGACTAGCCTGGTTAGGATCTGAATCACTGAAGAAGTCTAATTCAGTTATGTATTCCCTATTATTTACAATTGTAAAAATTGAACGTTTGAAATATGGCTGAACAACAACACTGGGAGCTTTACCTTTCAGGATTATTGTGCAGGCCTCTTCCATTAAATGTTTTTTTCCTTAGTGGCCAGTGAGATTTAGGCTACGGGTTGTCCCGCCTACCTAACGGCCGCTGTACACCGTTGTGTGGTGCTGAAGGTCAGTTCTCGGGAGTCGGGACGAGACCCATGTTTCGCCGCTGTCCATGCTGAAACCTCATATCGCTGGTAAGCTATTTGTTGCTCATACATTGGATGTTCCACCACAACTTCTGTGTGGTTTCAACAAAGTAGGCTTCAGAAAATTGTTAATTTTGGTTTCAAACAAGGAACAACAATTTTGACTATATTATAGTTAAGCAATAAGGCCCGAGGGGTATGGTGTTTGGCCAATATACCAAGGCTAAGGGCTGTTCTTAAGCACGACGCAACGCAGAGTGCCTGGACACAGCCCTTAGCCAAGGTGTATTGGCCATATATGTGCCTTATTGCTATTATAAACTGTTTACCAATGTAATTAGAGCAGTAAAAATAAATGTTTTGTCATACCTGGGATATATGTTCTGATATACCACGGCTGTCAGCCAATCAGCATTCTGGGCTCGAACCACCCAGTTTATAATAACAATTATAATAACAATTATAAACTGGGTGGTTCAAGCACTGAATGCTGATTGGCTGACAGCCATGGTATATCAGAACGTATACCCCGGGTATGACAAAACATTTATTTTTACTGCTCTAATTACGTTGGTAACCAGTTTATAATAGCAATAAGGTACCTCTGGGGTTTGTGGTATATTGCCAATATACCACGGCTAAGGGCTGTGTCCAGGCACTCCGCGTTTCTTTGTGCGTAAGAACAGCCCTTAGCCATGGTATATTGGCCATATACCACACCTCCTCTGGCCTTATTGCTTAATTATAGAATTGTATTTTGTTGAGGAATAAAAATTGATTATTACCAAGTGCTAGCCAGTCAGTTACAGTCATGACCCCATTTAGTAGGCTTCCTATTTACAGAGGACAGGAGTGAGCTTGAAGAGGGGTGAGAGGCAGGCTGCTGAGGTGTGTGTTGCTCCACTTTACATATGGCCTACTGGTATTATGCAATTGTTCGGTAGGCCTATGTGACATGGTGACTATGTAACGCCAAACGCCTTTTGCATATGTTCAATCATAAGTTGCTGCAAGTCACCCCTAAAAATGCAATGTCACCTGAGAGGTCCCAATCTGATGGCACAGTGACCTCATGATAAATGCTCTGTCCATTATAAATATTAACGTTTCAGAACTGGCCTGTTTCCCAGAACATGGTGTCTGTGTGTTTATGTGTGTGTGCGTGTGTGTGAAAGAGAGAGAGCGGGGGAGAGATCTTGCCAAAGATGTGTTCTTGATGTTATCCTATAACATTTTCACATTGCGTTTGAATTCAATTGAGGTGGATTTCACAGTTATAAAAGGAAATAAAATGTGTGCCAAGGCAATTGTATGAGCATTCAACATTTTATTGTCGGTTCTTGAAAAACAACGTCTTTGGCCTTTCATTTGTCATGCAGTGCATATTGTCAATTTGTGCGCCAACGGGACGCGCACGCGAGCACACGCACGAAACGCTCACGCGCATAAACACACACACACACACACACACACACACACACACACACACACACACACACACACACACACAGTCCTTGGCCTCCATGGTCGGACAGTCTCAACAGTAGGCTACTGCCAACACGTCTAACCGTATCCTCGGTGCTGCAGCATTCTGCATTTCTGAAGCGGCCGGGCGCTCTGTCAATGGTTGCTTTCCTGTTACAAACTGCTTTAATCTACCCGGATACATTTTTGCCATTGGCGGGGATTCCCAAACGCTGGGTGCGCGTTGAATTCAGCGAGCGCGCCCCCGCTGGATAGCTTCTCGTCACACCTACTTCACATCGGGCCAGCCCGGAGAGGGAGGACCGCTAGCTGAGCTAGTGCTGCAGTGAGCGCAGCGGGGGATTCGGCGGCGCAACAGCGCAAAGACAACCAGCGTTGTAAACTTGTATATGGAGGCTGCAGCGTCCCCCGCAACGACAGACTCCAACATGGAAGATTATTTGTGGCGGGCCAAGACCATACTGGTGAGTTTTAGCCTACACAGCCCGTGGTTAATAAGCGTTTTACTGATTGGGATGATGACGACATGCTACAGGCTGTATTCCTGTTGCTGAAACTGTACAGTCTCTCGTTTCTTTACCCCACAAGCAGCACCTTTAGTAGGCTACGGCGCAAGGCCAGAATGATGAATAAAAACGAGTGGTCCAAACCATAAGGTTCTCCTGCCACACATTTTGTTAATGAATTTTTTATCAGGGAATGCATGGCAACAGCAAGTTCATCAGAGGCACGCACAAGCCGGTGCTGCAGACAACGCCTAATCTGTCATCAAGCAGACTATTTGCATTTTACTTATGCCTAATCTGTCATCAGGCAGACTATTTGCATTTTATTTAAAAAAAATAGCCACATAGGCCTACTGTCTCGGCAGCGCTCATGCAAGTAGTTTCCAGTAAAAAGTTGTAAACACCTCATGATGACTATTCACTTACTTGACAGGTAGGCGAAAGGATACTAACTGTTCGTTTTAGGTAGGCTTAGGCTACATCACAAGAATATATATGAGTGTAGGCCTGTAGCTACAATAAACATGCAGGTGAGGTCTGAAGTTGCTTGATTTTGATTGGTCATTCTCCACAAAGTTATGTTGTATCTTCATCTCCCTGAATAGACAGACCCCAGTGAAGACTGTCGTTTTCTGTGTATGTCTAGACCCCTGCATTACAGTTTATGCATGGCTGTTGTAAGCCTAATAGTGTCAGTATGCCTATAGTTGTAGATAGTTGTGTTGGAGTGTGTGTAATGGTTGCTTTTTTGCTAGTCCATCCATTGGCTACAGAGTTCCCTTTGTGTGATGAGCCCATGGGATCCTACTAGGATGACATAGAAGGAGAAGACAAAGATGATGTCATAACAGAAAGCAGGAAGTACACATGGGAGCATGGGATCCAAGATGGAGATTGGGATAAATTGGGCCAACTGAAAGAGAAAGAGTAATTGGACGATAAGGCCCAACTCAGTGGCCTTGTGGTTAGTGTCCGCCCTGAGATTGGAAGGTTGGAATTTGATCCTCGGCACTTGGCACATTAAGGAGACAGATTGGGGTTAAGGCCCTGCGATGGACTATAGCGTCCTGTCCAGGGGGTGTACTTGTACATCAAGCTGCCTCACGCTACAGAAACAGGAGATAGGCGTTCCGACTCACACAAGCCAAGGCTCGTGCTCGTGTGTGCAATTGGACGATAAGGATGCTAGCTGATGAGTGTCATGGAGGTTGGAGATAACGTGTAATACGATACATGTTTATCGACTTGAGGACTGTTCCCCCCTCTGTCTCTCTCTCATTCTCTCCATCTATTTTCACCTTCCTTCCTTTAACACTGCAGTGTGTGAATGGTCTCTCTTCCTCCTTTTTCTCTCCTCCTGCATGGCAACCATCCAGAACATCCATACCTCTAATTGGCTTTCCTGTATAAGTGCTTACTGGATCTATCTTCCTTTCTCTTTCTGTCTATGGCTCTTTCTCTTTCACTCTCTCTCTTTCTTGCTCGCTCTCTGGCATGACACTAAGGCAATGTGCTTAGTGGACACACACATGCACATACGCACGCATGCATGCACAGTGCATACACGTTTTTGAGGAACACATTGATCTAGGCTTTGGCAGGGTGATTTGGGCAGTAGATCACCCTGTCCTTCACCCCATGGCAGAACCCTGCCCAGTGTCTGCACACTTTGTGGAGATTGGAGACATATACAGAGATACATATATACAGATATAGAGATATATTGCCATAGTAGACCTAAAACATTTAGACTTGGACAGTCTTTGACTTGGACAGTGAGTGTGACTGACAGAAACAAACAGCATGGGACTGACACAGACTATGTTGTTTCTTAAATGAGGAAATACGTGTGTGTATATGTGTGTCTGTGTTTTGACATGTACGTGTGTGTGTATACATTTGTATAAAAAGCTTTCCTTTTATTCATGACGCACTGTAAATCACTGATGCTCAGGCAGCAGTCAGCTGTTAGTCCTTTGAGTGTTTAGTACGGAAGGCTTTATGCGCAGGCAGCCCTGCTAAATTAACCACATCACTGGAGAAGGAATCACGATATTACCACTGAGCTATAGAGAAGGGGGGAGTACGAGGGACTCATAACAGAAGACAGTGGTGAAAGAGAGGGGATGACGGAATGAAAGAGATAATGGAGGGTAAGAGAGATAGAGGGAAAGCAATAAGACAGCTAAGGAAGGCAGAGAAAGCAGCAGCAGCACTGTGTCCGTCCACCCCGAGCCTCCTTGAGATGAATGGGGGGAATTTTAGATAAGGAGCACACAGTGAAATGGAGATGAGAGAGCGGTACCGGGTGTGTGTTTTGTTGTCTGTGTGCTCTGCTGCTGCTGCAGTGGAATAGACAGTGAGTGGCCTTTCCTTTCTCCACTAATGCGTCTCTTCCTCCCGTAGCCATCAGAGTATCGACCGACCCGCTTCCACCCCCTTCTCCCACCTCCCCCATCCATCCGCCTAAAGAAACATGAGACCAGATATTAGCATCTCAAACAGATATCCCTGCCCACTGCCCATCCCACCCCCCGTTCCCCTCCTCATCCGCTCTAATCATGGATATGCACAGTAATATGAGACCGAGATATGGATGGGTATTCATTGCAAATTTCCCTACTTGACCTATGGTTGTATCCAGGAGAGATTTCAGCAGGCCAGTGTGGCACAGTATGCTGCAGGTGGCGTGTATACCCAATACTGCCTTAATATGCTGACTAACTCAATGTAACAACCGCCCCAGATACTTACTATCCCATCCGGTCACAACTGTGTATGACGTAGTACTCTTCATTCAAGCAGATGGCACCCATGTTATTCTCATTGGTGTAGTACTAGTACTGGTAGTAGTGACTAGGATACACACACACACACACACACACACACACACACACACACACACACACACCACTGATCACACACACCACAAATCATATTTTGCATTATGCCTGGATTTTTCTGAGTACCGCATTCCAGCACAGTCATACCTGCTTTAGGGATGAGATGATATCAGTTATTTCTGCTCTGCCTACAACACTTCTCACAGCTTATCTTTCTTTCATTTCACAGGCTGCAGTGGCAGAAGAAGTTAAAGCTACAGTATGTAACTTTTTGGGCGACCTGACCAACTTCACATAGATCTGGCATTCTCATTGAAAGCAAGTCTAAGAAGTGTAGATCTGTTCTATGTGTACTATTTCTATACTTCCCGTTCTTAAGTTTCATTTTTGCAACTTTTACTGAGAAGGGTGCAACTGCAGCCCGCAATTCGGGGCGTTCCTGCATGTGGGCATTCCTGCATTTGCAGGAACCCCTCTTTATACTTCTATTGGTCTATTTTTAAGCTATGACTCCAGTACATAGGCGGGAGGCAGGGGCGCTCCAGTACATTAGATTGTGGTAATGCACCATAACGTTGGATGCCAACCGCCGATAAACCACACAGAAGAATACATTTTATTTATTTATTTTATTTATGTATTCATTTGCACCAAAGAAAACAAGTGATAGACAACAATACAGATAAAAAATAACAAATAAAAAACGGTGTGCAGGTGTGGTTGAAAGCCCAAGGGCTTATATGAAAACCACACCACAAAAACACAACACACAATACATAAGTACAAAAAAAAAAAAGGTTTGTTAAAACAGATAATAAAACCTACTAATTACAAATGTATAAATGAATTGACCAGTAATCACGAAAAAAAATTGTGTGAGTGTGTGAGAGTTAGGCAATATGGAGGAGATTACTGAATAGTTTGGTTCATCAGGCTGACTGACCCCCAGTCTTCACTTGAAGTTATTGAGGGATGATAATGTTTTGGCAATGTGAAGATAAGAATTCCAGAGGATGGTATCTCTATATCTGATAGATAATTGACTATGTGAGGTGCGGCAGTGGGGAGGGTGAAGGTTATCACAGTGTCTTGTGTTATATAGATGGATTTCAGAATTAACTTGGAAGAATCCATTGAAGGGTTTAGGTAAAGTGTCTGGGAGGTATTAGTATTTGTAGATGAAAGTGCATAATTGGCGTAAAATATTTAGAGGAGGTGGCTAGTCTTGCAAATGTATTTTGTATGATGACTAATTTGGGTAGGTAGGAGACAATATTACAGTAAATTAGATATGGGTAAATTAAGCTATAGTATAGAGTCAGGAAGCAAGCCTGATGAACCAAACCACTAATCGTTCTGATGATACCAACAGATTTCATCACTTTGCTGCAGACAAATTGAATATGATCTTTCCAGGATAACTTTTCATTAATTTGAACTCAGAGGAATCTAGTGGATGTGACTTTTTTATTTATTTTTAATTTTTTACATGATTTCTTATTCTTACTAGCGAATACAATAATGTTGGATTTTTTTTACATTTAAAGATAAACAAATGATCTGGAACAATTCTGAAAATTTGGCCATACCTGAGTTGGCTTCATTAATTAGTGAATCAACATTTTTGTGTGATAAAATCTAATTGATATCATCAGCAAAGAGAATGGGAAGTATGGTAGAAGACACAGCAGGAAGGTCATTGATATAGATTAGGAATAACAAAGGTCCAATTATCGAACCCTGTGGCACGCCACAGGATATCTTGGCCCTGGTAGATGCACAACCATTTGCATTAACAAATTGTTCTGTATCATAAACATAACTATATAGCCAATTATATGTATAATCATGAAAACCGTAATAATGCAATTTAGAAAGTAATATTTCATGATCAACCATGTCAAACGCTTTGGATAAATCTAAAAAGATGCCAAGAGCGGATTCATTGTTGCAAAAGAGCCATATCTGTGCTGTAGTTTTTATGAAAACCATATTGGTGCTCATATAGAATACAGTGTTGAAACCATATTGGTGCTCATATAGAATACAGTGTTGAAACCATATTGGTGCTCATATAGAATACAGTGTTGAAACCATATTGGTGCTCATATAGAATACAGTGTTGAAACCATATTGGTGCTCATATAGAATACAGTGTTGAAACCATATTGGTGCTCATATAGAATACAGTGTTGATTTAAATGTTTCAACATTCTCTTATGCACCAATTTTTCTAGGATGAAAAAACCCCATGGTAGTACAGATATAAAACATGGTAGTACAGATATAAAACATGGTAGTACAGATATTGGGCGATAATTTGTAAAAGATCTTGGATCCCCAGATTTATAGAGGGGGATAACGTTGGCAAATTTAACATCTTTAGTAACAATACCAGTTTGCATTGATTTGGTAAAGATATACACTACCGGTCAAAGGTTTTAGAACCTACTGATTCAAGGTTTTTTCTTAATTTTTTTTACTATTTTCTACATTGTAGAATAATAGTGAAGACATCAAAACTATGAAATAACACATATGGAATCATGAAGTAACCAAAAAAGTGTTAAACAAATCAAAATATATTTTATATTTGAGATTATTCAAATAGCCACCCTTTGCCTTGATGACAGCTTTGCACACTCTTGGCATTCTCTCAACCAGCTTCACCTGGAATGCTTTTCCAACAGTCTTGAAGGAGTTCCCACATACAGTATCTCACAAAAGTGAGTACACCCCTCACATTTTTGTAAATATTGAGTATATCTTTTCATGTGACAACACTGAAGAAATGACACTTTGCTACAATGTAAAGTAGTGAGTGTACAGCTTATATAACAGTGTAAATTTGCTGTCCCCTCAAAATAACACAACACACAGCCATTAATGTCTAAACCGCTGGCAACAAAAGTGAGTACACCCCTAAGTGAAAATGTCCAAATTGGGCCAAAGTGTCAATATTTTGTGTGGCCACCATCATTTTCCAGCACTGCCTTAACCCTCTTGGGCATGGAGTTCACCAGAGCTTCACAGGTTGCCACTGGAGTCCTCTTCCACTCCTCCATGACGACATCACGGAGCTGGTGGATGTTAGAGACCTTGCACTCCTCCACCTTCCGTTTGAGGATGCCCCACAGATGCTCAATAGGGTTTAGGTCTGGAGACATGCTTGGCCAGTCCATCACCTTTACCTTCAGCTTCTTTAGCAAGGCAGTGGTCGTCTTGGAGGTGTGTTTGGGGTCGTTATCATGTTGGAATACTGCCCTGCGGCCCAGTCTCCGAAGGGAGGGGATCATGCTATGCTTCAGTATGTCACAGTACATGTTGGCATTCATGGTTCCCTCAATGAACTGTAGCTCCCCAGTGCCGGCAGCACTCATGCAGCCCCAGACCATGACACTCCCACCACCATGCTTGACTGTAGGCAAGACACACTTGTCTTTGTACTCCTCACCTGGTTGCCGCCACACACGCTTGACACCATCTGAACCAAATACGTTTATCTTGGTCTCATCAGACCACATGACATGGTTCCAGTAATCCATGTCCTTAGTCTGCTTGTCTTCAGCAAACTGTTTGCGGGCTTTCTTGTGCATCATCTTTAGAAGAGGCTTCCTTCTGGGACAACAGCCATGCAGACCAATTTGATGCAGTGTGCTGCGTATGGCCTGAGCACTGACAGGATGACCCCCCCACCCCTTCAACCTCTGCAGCAATGCTAGCAGCACTCATACGTCTATTTCCCAAAGACAACCTCTGGATATGACGCTGAGCACGTGCACTCAACTTCTTTGGTCGACCATGGCGAGGCCTGTTCTGAGTGGAACCTGTCCTGTTAAACCGCTGTATGGTCTTGGCCACCGTGCTGCAGCTCAGTTTCAGGGTCTTGGCAATCTTCTTATAGCCCAGGCCATCTTTATGTAGAGCAACAATTATTTTTTTCAGATCCTCAGAGAGTTCTTTGCCATGAGGTGCCATGTTGAACTTCCAGTGACCAGTATGAGGGAGTGTGAGAGCGATGACACCAAATTTAACACACTTGCTCCCCATTCACACCTGAGACCTTGTAACACTAACGAGTCACATGACACCGGGGAGGGAAAATGGCTAATTGGGCCCAATTTGGACATTTTCACTTAGGGGTGTACTCACTTTTGTTACCAGCGGTTTAGACATGAATGGCTGTGTGTTGAGTTATTTTGAGGGGACAGCAAATTGACACTGTTATACAAGCTGTACACTCACTACTTTACATTGTAGCAAAGTGTCATTTCTTCAGTGTGGTCACATGAAAATATATACTCAAAATTTACAAAAATGTGAGGGGTGTACTCACTTTTGTGAGATACTGTACACTGAGCAATTGTTGGCTGCTTTTCCTTCACTCTGCGGTCCGACTCATCCCAAACCATCTGAAATTGGTTGAGGTCGGGGGATTGTGGAGGCCAGGTCATCTGATGCAGCACTCCATCACTCTCCTTCTTGGTCAAATAGCCCTTACACAGCCTGGAGGTGTGTTGAGTCATTGTACTGTTGAAAAGCAAATGATAGTCCCACTAAGCCCAAACCAGATGGGATGGCGTATCGCTACAGAATGCTGTGGTAGTCATGCTGGTTAAGTGTGCCTTGAATTCTAAATAAATTACAGACGGTGTCACCAGCAAAGCACCCCCACACCATAACACCACCTTCTCCATGCTTTACGGTGGGAAATACACATGCAGAGATCATCCGTTCACCCACACCGCGTCTCACAAAGACACAGTGGTTGGAACCAAAAATCTCCAATTTGGACTTCAGACCAAAGGACAAATTTCCACCAGTCTAATGTCCATTGCTCGTGTTTCTTGGCCCAAGCAAGTCTCTTCTTATTATTGGTGTCCTTTAGTAGTGGTTTCTTCGCAGCAATTCAATCATGAAGGCCTGATTCACACAGTCTCCTCTGAACAGTAGATGTTGAGATGTGTCTGTTACTTGAACTCTGTGAAGCATTTATTTGGGCTGCAATTTCTGAGGCTGGTAACTCTAATGAACTTATCCTCTGCAGCAGAGGTAACTCTGGGTCTTCCTTTCGTGTGGCGGTCCGCATGAGAGCCAGTTTCATCATAGCGCTTGATGGTTTTTGCGACTGCACTTGAAGAAACTTTAAAAGTTCTTGAAATGTTCCGTATTGACTGACCTTCATGTCTTAAAGTAATGATGGACTGTCGTTTCTCTTTGCTTATTTGAGCTGTTCTTGCCATAAAATGGACTTGGTCTTTTACCAAATAGGGCTATCTTCTGTATACCACCCCTACCTTGTCACAACACAACTGATTGGCTCAAATGCATTAAGAAGGAAATAAATTCCACAAATTAACTTTTAAGAAGGCACACCTGTTCTATGAAATGCATTCCAGGTGACTACCTCATGAAGCTGGTTGAGAGAATGCCAAGCGTGTGCAAAGCTGTCATCAAGGCAAAGGGTGGCTATTTGAAGAATCTCAAATCTCAAATATATTTTGATTTGTTTAACACCTTTTTGGTTACTACATGATATATATATATATATGTGTTATTTCACAGTTTCGATGTCTTCACTATTATTCTACAATGTAGAAAATAGTAAAAATAAAGAAAAGCCCTTGAATGAGTAGGTGTTCTAAAACCTACGACCGGTAGTGTACGTTAGAGGCTCAGGAATCGAGGAAGACACTGATTTCACCAAAGAGGCACCAATCTCATCATGGCCTGCTGCTGATATCTTTAAGTTACCAATTACCTCCGTCACCTCCATTACATCAGGAGGATCAAACTGAAGCAGAGAAGGGAAATGTCCCTTAATGTAATCCAAGGGATTCCATCAGTTTTCTCTATTTCCTTTGACAGAGAGGAACCCACATACACAAAAAAGTAATTAAATTCACATATAATAACATCAGGATCACTATAGTTCTTATTTCCAACAATAAGTTGAGATAGTTGTAGATGCCTTTTTCTTATTCAACAGTTGATTGATGATTTTCCAATTGTCCCTATGGGACTCCCGGTTGTGACACAGCCTGGGATCGAACCCAGGTCTGTAGTGACGCCTCTAACACTGTGACCGCTGTGCCACTCGGGAGACCACAACTTGTTGTTTTTTACTGAGGATTTGTTGAGACCGGTTGTAAACCAAGGTTTCCAGAACCCATCTGCTGCTCTCTTATGTGATTTAACTAAGGGAAAGCAGTGGTGAAATACAGAATTGAAAGATGTGAGAAAAGTCAGGTAAGCAGACTCCACATCGGCCTGATTATAAAATATTTCCCATGAAATATGGAAAATACGGTACCGGTACCCCCTGTATATAGCCTCGTTATTGTTATTTTATTGTGTTACTTATTTTTCTTACTTTAGTTACTTAAAAAAAATCTATAATGTTGGTTAAGGGCTTGTAAGTAAGTATTTCACAGTTAGGTCTACACCTGTTGTATTCGTCGCATTTGATTTTATGTCGTCCTCGAGGGGGGAAGCATTCATGCAGGAGCCAATGGGGTGCTCGGGGGGAGGGGGGGAGGGGCAACCTGCAGATGCAGAAATGCCCACATGCAGGAACTCCCCGAATTGCAGGCTGCAGTTGCACCCTATTGCTTTCACTTTCGGTTTTGTACACCAGCTTCAAACAAGCTGAAAATACAATATTTTTGGTTATTGAAAAGTTATTTCACAGCGGTTTAGATTGTACAATGATTCTCTACACTATACATTGCTTGTTTTCTCACATAAACTGACATTACACGACATGGGTCCCATTATGCCTAGCGAAAACCAAACACTGCATTCCACAGTAAGAACCTTATAGCAACGGTCAAGCATGGTCGTGGTAGTGTGATGGTTTGGGGATGCTTTGCTGCCTCAGGACATGGACGACTTGCCTTAACAGAAGGAACCATGAATTCTGCTCTGTATCAGACAATTCTACAGGAGAATGTCAGGCCATCCGTCTGTGAGCTGAAGCTGAAGCGCAGATGGGTCATGCAGCAAGACAATGATCCAAAACACACAATCAAGTTTACATGAGAATGTCCAAAAAGCAACAAATGTGAAGTTTTGGAATGGCCTAGTCAATGTCCAGACCTAATCCCAATTGAGATGTTGTGGCAGTACTTGAAACGAGCAGTTCATGCTTGAAAACCCACAAATGTTCCTGAGTTAAAGCAGTTCTGTATGGAAGAGTGGGCCAAAATACCTCCACAGTGACGTGAGAGACTGATCAACAACTACAGGTTGCGTTTGGTTTCGAGTCATTGCAGCTAATGGTGGCACAACCAGTTATTGAGTGTAAGGGGGCAATTACTTTTTCACACAGGGGCATTGGGTGTTGCATAACTTTGTTTATGAAATAAGTATTTAATTGTTGTTATTTGTTCATTCAGGTTCCCTTTATCTAATATTAGGTTTTGGTTGAAGATCCGATAATATTCAGTATCAAAAATATGCAAAAGTAGAGAAAATTAGAAAGGAGGCAAATACTTCACAGCACTGTATGCAAACATAGTTTGGAAATATGCACTGGTGTTTGAATGATGGCCCCTATCAACTCTGGTTGACTTCTTTACAATACAGTACACTACATTATACTGTACTTTGTCCATTAGTTACAATGAACTGTCACGATTCTCTAAAGCAGAACCCAGAAGCAGACCAGGACAAGGTGAGTAGAACGAAGGTGAGTATTTATTTACAGACTCAAATGTGGAAGCAGAATAATCCAGGAGACGGAGCGGGCAGCGGATGTGAGTTGGTGGGAGTGAATAGGCAGAGCCAATGGTGTCACAGAAGCCACCGACGACCAGGCAGGTGTGGGGTGAATGTTCCGGGAGAATGACTGTAGACAGAGTAAACGGAGGTGAGTACACGGCAAGCAAAAAGTACAGAACAACAAAACTAACTCTAGTAAACTTGAGGCTGATACGCTGACACAACATACTGTTCATGGCTAACGATCCGGCAGGGAATGGATGTCAGGTCAGAGCTTATGAAGTGGAGAGGTGATGATCAGGACCAGGTGTGCAGATAGCTGATGAGATGCAGGTGCGGGTAATAGAGAGATCTCCCGCCTAGCTTCGTCGCCTGGCAACCAGACAGGGTGCGTTCAGGAACCTCAGGAAACAGACTCCAGAACAGAAAACAGGCAACACAGGCAGAGGATTCATGACAGTACCCCTCCTCCGACGAACACCACCGGGCGGACTACCCGGAGCGCCAGGATGGAGGCGGTAGAAGTCACGAAGGAGGTCAGCATCAAGGATCTGACGCCGAGGAATCCAACTCCTCTCCTCAGGACCATACCCCTCCCAGTCCACGAGATACTGGAAACCCCGACCCCGCCGTCTGGAATACATGATGCGGCGCACCGTGTAGACAGGACCACCTCCGATCATCCGAGGAGGAGGAGGAGGAGGCGGAGGGGGCAACAGAGGACTGAGGAGAACAGGCTTGAGGCAGGAGACATGAAAGGTGGGATGGACTCTGAGCGTTCTAGGCAACTTGAGTCGAACCAAAACAGGATTAATCACTCTCTCCACCACAAACGGACCAATGAACTTCGGTGACAGTTTCTTCGACTCAGTCCGCAGAGGAAGATCCCGTGTAGCTTACCAGACCTTATCTCCGATGGCATAAGCGGGGGCTGGAATACGGCGATGATTCGCCTGGAGCTGATACCGGTCAGAAACTCTAAGGAGGGCCTTTCTGGCCCGATGCCAGGTCCGGTGGCAACGACGAATGTGGGCCTGGACAGGGGGAACCGAGAGATCCTTCTCCTGAGAAGGAAACGAGGGAGGTTGGTAGCCGTACAGGCACTGGAAGGGAGACATCCCAGTGGGGGATGTAGGGAGAGTATTGTGGGCATACTCGACCCATGGCAACTGAGAGACCCAAGAGGTGGGGTTGGAGGAGACAAGGCAGCGCAGCGTGGATTCCATCTTCTGGTTGGCTCTCTCCGCCTGACCATTAGATTGGGGGTGAAATCCAGATGTGAGACTGACTGTAGCTCCAATGGCCAAACAGAAGGATTTCCAGACAGCAGAGGTAAACTGAGGACCACGGTCGGAAACTATGTCACTGGGCAACAAGTGGACCCTGAAAACCTCCCTAACCAGGATCTCGGATGTCTCAGAGGCAGGGGGAAGCTTGGAGATGGGCACAAAGTGGGCGAACTTGCTGAATCTGTCCACAATAGTCAGAATGACCGTGTTCCCCTCAAAAGAGGGCAACCCAGTGACAAAATCCAGGGCCAGATGCGACCATGGTCGCCGGGGAATAGGTAGGGGGTGAAGAAGTCCAGAGCTGGGCCGATTGGCACTCTTATTCTGCGCACAAACTGGACAGGCAGCAACAAACCTCCGGGTATCTTCTCCCATGGCAGGCCACCAAAATCGTCTGCGTAGTAACGCCATCGTCCGAGCCACGCCAGGGTGACAAGCCATCTTGCTGGCGTGGGACCATTGGAGGACAGCAGAACGGACCGACTCTGGCACAACTCCTCCAAGGCAAGTTTCACCGCGAGAAGCTCCCGGTTACCCACATCGTAGTTCCTCTCCGCAGACGAAAGACGACGACAGTAGAAGGCGCAGGGATGGAGTTTACCGTCAGTGGAGCTTCGCTGGGACAGGATGGCGCCAACCCCCACATCAGACGCGTCCACTTCAATGACAAACTGACGGGCAGCGTCAGGTTGAGAGAGAATCGGGGCGTTGGTGAATCGAAATGATCGGTCTGCCTCAGGATTCCAACTGAAGGTTCTGGTACTAGAAGTCAGGGCAGTTAATGGAGCGGCCACACGGCTGTAATCACGGATAAATCTACGATAGAAATTCGCAAACCCTAGAAACCTCTGGAGCTGCAATCTCGTACCGGGCTGGGCCCAATCCAGAACCACTCTAACCTTCTCTTGATCCATCCTAATCTCTCCCCTGGAGATGATGTACCCGAGGAAGGATGTAGTGTGGGCGTGAAATTAACACTTCTCGGACTTCACAAACAGGCGGTTCTCCAACAATCGCTGCAGAACCTGCTTGACATGCTGGACGTGGCTGGAAAGCTCCTTAGAGAAGATAAGAATGTCATCCAGATACACAAACACAAAAAGACTGATCATATCTCTCAGGACGTCATTCACCATACTCTGGAACACTGCTGGAGCATTGGTCAGTCCAAACGGCATCACCTGATACTCGAAATGACCCATCGGTGTATTGAAACCAGTCAACCACTCGTCCCCCTCTCTGATCCGGACCAGATGATACGCATTGCGTAGATCCAGCTTAGTGAACACAGTAGCACCCTGTAAGGAGTCGAAAGCAGAGCTCATCAAGGGCAGGGGATACTTGTTCTCGACTGTAATATCATTCAACCCCCGATAATCAATACAAGGTCGAAGAGCGCCATCCTTCTTACTCACAAAAAAGAATCCTGCCCCCAGGGGTGATGACGAGGGACAAATGAGACCAGCAGCTAGAGACTCCTTTATGTAGGTCTCCAAAGCTTCATGTTCAGGTCGGGAGATACTGTATAACCGTCACTTGGGATAGGCAGCTCCAGGGAACAGGTTAATGGCACAATCATATGGTCGGTGGGGAGGAAGTGACAGAGCCTTCTGCTTACTGAACACTTCCCCCAAATCGTGAGATGTTTCAGGAACCAGGGACAAATCTGGAGGGGTAGAATCAATGACCTGACTGGGAACATTCAATGCTCCAACTAGTTACCTTGCCAGTCACCCAATCGAATGTGGGATTGTGTTCTCTCAGCCAGGGGTATCCAAGCACCAGAGGAACATGGGGAGAAGGCAGAATGAAGAAGGAGATAACCTCTGAATGGCATATCCCATAATAAAAAAATAATGTTTATTTGAAAGAGTTAGCTGGCTAGCTTGTAAAGTGGTGAATTAAAGTAGCCTAACTTTTTCTATTTAGCTAGCTAAGTTAGCTAGGTAGCTAGCTAACAAATGTGCTCAAATTCTAATAATGTTTCAACTTTATTTATCTAGCCTATAGTTTATATCATATGACTTTGGCTTCATATATTTGAATTAAATAATCAATTATTGAAAATAACGTGCTTATTTGTAGGCTACTTCCAAGTTGGTTCAACCACCATCCTATTGCGTCGTCATGCTGGAATGAATTGGCAGTTGGTTTTTTAATCAGAATGGCAGTTACATTTTGAATTGACCAAAAAAGTCCATATAGAACCCCTTCTTTATCTAAGAGTGTATGCTTTTATTAAACACATTATTTCCTCTTGCTTCTAGATAGCATTTAGTTTGCAACAGCACAAGTTTGTATGAACCTTGTGGTTTGCCACTCAGACCTCGGAAACAATGTTTCAAAATATGAATTAGATCTTCCTCATGCCATAGTGAGCTAACGGTGTCGGACGTCAGCTAGCCATTTTTATGACCTCTCGAAATCATGCAGCATCATCATTAATATGGATATAAATGACAATGGAAAACATCTAAAACAAATTAAAAGGGATTGTTAGCTGTCATTTCAGAGTTTGATGTGACTGGGTTAGCTTTTGTTAACTGTTGATTTCTAAAATCCCCATTACACTCTGGGGTAGGGATAGAACCCTCAAAGTTATTTTTCCTTCACTGGGTATACAGTGCCTTCAGAAAGTTTTCACACCCCTTGACTTTTCCCACATTTTGTTGTGTTACAGCCTGAATTAAAATTGATTAAATTGAGATTTTGTGTCACTGGCCTACACAAAATACCCCATAATGTCAAAGTAGAACTATGTTTTTAGAAATGTTTAGATATTTTATTAAAAATGAAAAGCTGAAATGTCATATGTCAATAAGTATTCAACCCCTTTGTTATGGCAATCCTAAATAAGTTCAGGAGTAAAAATGTGCTTAACAAGTCCCATAATAAGTTGAATGGACTCACTCTGTGTGCAATAATAGTGTTTAACATGATTTTTTAATGACTACCTCATCTCTGTACCCCACACATTAGTAGGTAACATAACTGTAAGGTCCCTCAGTCGAGCAGTGAATTTCAAACAGATTTAACCACAATGACCAGGGAGGTTTTCCAATGCCTCGCAAAGAATGGCACCTATTGGTAGATGGGTAAAAAACAACAACTGACATTTAATATGATTTTGAGCATGGTGAAGTTATTAATTACACTTTGGGTGGTGTATCAATACACCCAGTCACTAGAAAGATACAGGCCTCCCCCCTAACTCAGTTGCCGGAGAGGAAGGAAACCGCTCAGAGTTTTCACCATGAGGCCAATGGTGACTTTAAAACAGTTACAGAGTTGAATGGCTGTGATATGAGAAAACTGAGGATGGATCAACAACATTGTAGTTACTCCACAATACTAACCTAAATGACAGAATGAAAAGAAGGAAGCCTGTACAGAATAAAAATATTCCAAAACATACATCCTGTTTGCAATAAGGCGCTAAATAAAATGTTTGGGGCAAATCCAAGACAACACATCACAAAGTACCACTCTTCATATTTTCAAGCATGTTGGTGGCTGCATCATGTTATGGGAATGCCTGTCATCGGCAAGGACTAGTGAGTTTTTTTGGGTATAAAAATAAATGGAATAGAGCTAAGCACAGGCAAAATCCTAGAGGAAAACCTAGGTCAGTCTGCTTTCCAACAGACACACTGGGAGACAAATTCACCTTTCAGCAGGACAATAACCTAAAACACAAGGCCAAATATACACTGGAGTTGCTTACCAAGACGACAATCCTGAGTGGCCTAGTTACAGTTTTGACTTAAATCGGCTTAAAAATATATGGCAAGACTTGAAAATGGCTGTCTAACAATGATCAACAACCGACTTGACAGAGCTTGAAGAATTTAAAAAAGAATAATGTGCAAATATTGTACATCCAGGTGTGCAAAGCTCTTAGAGACTTACCCAGAAAGACTCACAGCTGTAATCACTGCCAAAGGTGATTCTAACATGTGGTGTGAATACTCATTGAAATTAGATATTTCTGTATTTTATTTGCAATACATTTGCAAAAATGTTTAAAACATGATTTCACTTTGTCATTACAGGGTATTGTGTGTAGATGGGTGATCAAAAAATCTAGCTAATACATTTTTGAATTCAGGCTGTAACACAACAAAATGTGGAATACGTCAAGGGGTATGAATACTTTCTGAAAGTATATATAACACTTTTTTTTAGGAAAGGGTTTTTTAATCTCATCCAAAGAACCAAACGTTTCAATAGAGAACCTCAAATAACCATTTTTTTCTACAAGTGTATATGCCAACACCATTCCAACTCAGAAAAGCACATTTTTAACATACTTAATTACCACTTTTTGGAAGGAAAACTATTTCACTCATATTGTAATTAATTATAGGTCATATTTCATAGAAACACTGCACAGTTACTTTAAAATGCTTGCTAATCCACAGAATAGAAAAACAAACCGAAATGTAAATGTTGTCAGTGTTTGTTTGTATTTTTGTTTGTTCCAGGCATCAGGACCTGACCATCCTAAAGTCCACGCTGTTCTAGGAGGGGTGGACCCAGGTGTAGATTCTGTGGCTTCAACACTGAGTTACGCCTACTTCCTCAACCAGGTAATGTGTGGGGACATGTTCACGTGTGCATGGTATTTATGTACAGTTGAAGTTGGAAGTTTACATACACTTAGGTTGGAGTCATTAAAACTAGTTTTTCAACCACTCCACTAATTTCTTGTTAACAAACTATAGTTTTGGCAAGTCGGTTAGGACATCTACTTTGTGCATGACACAAGTAATTTTTCCAACAATTGTTTACAGACAATTATTTCACTTATAATTCACTGTATCACAATTCCAGTGAGTCAGAAGTTTACATACTTTACAGAAGTTGACTGAGCCTTTAAACAGCTTGGAAAATTCCAGAAAATGATGTCATGGCATTAGAAGCTTCTGATAGGCTAAGTGACATCATTTGAGTCAATTGGAGGTGTACCTATGGATGTATTTCAAGGCCTAACTTCAAACTCAGTCCCTCTTTGCTTGACATCATAGGAAAATCAAAAGAAATCAGCCAAGACCTCAGAAAAAAATGTGTAGACCTCCACAAGTCTGGTTCATCCTTGGGAGCAATTTCCAAAAGCCTGAAGGTACCACGTTCATCTGTACAAACAATAGTACGCAAGTATAAACACCATGGGACCACGCAGCCGTCATACCGCTCAGGAAGGAGACGCGTTCTGTCTCCTAGAGATTAACGTACTTTGGTGCGAAAAGTGCAAATCAATCCCAAAACAACAGCAAAGGACCTTGTGAAGATGATGGAGGAAACGGGTACAAAAGTAGACTGGAACATGTTCCGCGATTCTTCAGATAGCATTGAGGAGTACACCACATCAGTCACTGGCTTCATCAATAAGTGCATCGATGACGTCGTCCCCACAGTGACCGTACGTACATACCCCAACCAGAAGCCATGGATTACAGGCAACATCCGCACTGAGCTAAAGTGTAGAGCTGCAGCTTTCAAGGAGCGGGACTCTAATCCGGACGCTTATAAGAAATCCCGCTATGCCCTCAGACGAACCATCAAACATGCAAAGAGTCAATACAGGACTAAGATTGAATCGTACTACACCGGTTGTGACGCTCGTCGGATGTGGCAGGGCTTGAAAACTATTACAGACTACAAAGGGAAGCACAGCCGCGAGCTGCCCAGTGACACAAGACTTCCAGACGACCTAAACCACTTCTATGCTCGCTTCGAGGCAAGCAACACTGAAGCATGCATGAGAGCACCAGCTGTTCCGGATGACTATGTGATCACGCTCTCCGTAGCCAATGTGAGTAAGACTTTTAAGCAGTTCAACATTCACAAGGCCGCAGGGCCAGACGGATTACCAGGACGTGTACTCCGAGCATGTGCTGACCAACTGGCAAGTGTCTTCACTGACATTTTCAACATGTCCCTGACTGAGTCTGTAATACCAACATGTTTCAAGCAGACCACCATAGTCCCCGTGCCCAAGGACACTAAGATAACCTGCCTAAATGACTACCTACCCGTAGCACTGATGTCTGTAGCCATGAAGTGCTTTGAAAGGCTGGTCATGGCTCACATCAACACCATTATCTCAGAAACCCTAGACCCACTCCAATTTGCATACCGCCCCAACAGATCCACAGATGATGAAATCTCTATTGCACTCCACACTGCCCTTTCCCACCTGGACAAGAGGAACACCTACGTGAGATTCATTGACTACAGCTCAGCATTCAACACCATAGTGCCCTCAAAGCTCATCACTAAGATAAGGATCCTGGGACTAAACACCTCCCTCTGCAACTGGATCCTGGACTTCCTGATGGGCCGCCCCCAGGTGTTAAGGGTAGGTAACAACACATCTGCCACACTGATCCTCAACACAGGGGCCCCTCAGGGGTGCGTGCTCAGTCCCCTCCTGTACTCCCTGTTCACCCACGACTGCGTGGTCAAGCACGACTCCAACACCATCATTAAGTTTGCCGACGACACAACAGTGGTAGGCCTGATCACCGACAACGATGCGACAGCCTATAGAGAGGAGGTCAGAGACCTGGCCGTGTGGTGCCAGGATAACAACCTCTCCCTCAACGTGACCAAGACAAAGGAGATGATTGTGGACTACAGGAAAAAAAGAGGACTGAGCACGCCCCCATTCCCATCGACGGGGCTGTAGTGGTACAGGTTGAGAGCTTCAAGTTCCTTGGTGTCCACATCACCAACAAACTATCATGGTCCAAACACACCAAGACAGTCGTGAAGAGGGCACGACAAAGCCTATTCCCCCTCAGGAGACTGAAAAGATTTGGCATGGGTCCTCAGATCCTCAAAAAATTCTACAGCTGCACCAGCGAGAGCATCCTGACTGGTTGCATCACCGCCTGGTATGGCAACTGCTCGGCCTCCGACCGCAAGGCACTACAGAGGGTAGTGCGTACGGCCCAGTACATCACTGGGGCCAAGCTTCCTGCCATCCAAGACGTCTATACCAGGCGGTGTCAGAGGAAGGCCCTCAAAATTGTCAAAGACTCCAGCCACCCTAGTCATAGACTGTTCTCTCTGCTACCGCACGGCAAGCGGTATCGGAGTGCCAAGTCTAGGTCCAAAAGACTTCTCAACAGATGCTACCCCCAAGCCACAAGACTCCTGAACAGCTAATCATGGCTAACCGGACTATTTGCACTGCCCTCCCACCCCATCTTTTTACGCTGCTGCTACTCTGTTAATTATTTATGCATAGTCACTTTAACTCTACCCACATGTACATATTACCTCAACTACCTCAACTAGCCGGTGCCCCCGCACATTGACTCTGCACCGGTACCCCCCTGTATATATAGCCTCCCTACTGTTATTTTATTTTACTTCTTCTCTTTTTTTCTCAACACTTTTTTGTTGTTGTTGTTTTATTTTACTTTTTTATTAAAAACATTAATGCATTGTTGGTTAAGGGCTGTAAGTAAGCATTTCACTGTAGTGTCTACACCTGTTGTATTCGGCGCATGTAGCCAATTTGATTTGATTTGATTATATCAACATAACCTGAAAGGCCACTCAGCAAGGAAGAAGCCACTGCTCCAAAACCGCCAATGAAAAAGCCAGAATACGGTTTGCAACTGCACATGGGGACAAAGATTGTACTTTTTGGAGAAATGTCCTCTGATCTGATGAAACAAAAATAGAATTGTTTGGCCATAATGACCATTGTTATGTTTGGAGGGAAAAAGGGGTAGCTTGCAAGCAGAAGAACACCATCCCAACCGTGAAGCACGGGGGTGGTAGCATCATGCTGTGGGGGTGCTTTGCTGCAGGAGGGACTGGTGTACTTCACAAAATAGATGGCATCATGAGGAAGGAAAATTATATGGATATATTGAAGCAACATCTCAAGACATCAGTCAGGAAGTTAAAGCTTGGTCGCAAATGGGTCTTCCAAATGGACAATGACCCCAAGCATACTTCCAAAGTTGTGCCAAAATGGCTTAAGGACAACAAAGTCAAGATATTGGAGTTGCCATCACAAAGCCCTGACCTCAATCCTATAGAAAATGTGTGGGCAGAACTGAAAAAGCGTGTGTGAGCAAGGAGGCCTACAAACCTGACTCAGTTACACCAGCTCTGTCAGGAGGAATGGGCAAAAATTCACCCAACTTATTGTGGGAAGCTTGTGGAAGGCTACCCGAAACATTTGACCCAAGTTAAACAATTTAAAGGAAATGCTACCAAATAATAATGGAGTGTATGTAAACTTCATTAAATGTCAGGAATTGTGAAAAACTGAGTTTAAATGTATTTGGCTAAGGTGTATGTAAACTTCCGACTTCAACTGTATGTGATTTGTGTGTGTTTTTGCGTGTGTGTGTATTGTAGTCTTTGTGTACTTGTTTATGTGTTTGAGGTTGAGTTTAAGTTTAAGTAATAATAATAATATGCCAGTTAGCAGATGCTTTTATCCAAAGCGATTTACAGTCATGCGTGCATATTATTATTTTTTTTGTGTATGGGTGGTCCCGTGGATCGAACCCACTACCTTGGCGTTACAAGCGCCGTGCTCTACCAGCTGAGCTACAGTGTATCTTTGTGTCTTGTATTTGTACTTTCTCTGTGTGTGTGTGTGTGTGTGTGTGTGTGTGTGTGTGTGTGTGTGTGTGTGTGTGTGTGTGTGTGTGTGTGTGTGTGTGTGTGTGTGTGTGTGTGTGTGTGTGTGTGTGTGTGTGTGTGTGTGTGTGTGTGTGTGTGTGTGTGTGTGTGTGTGTGTGTGTGTGTGTGTGTGTGTGTGTGTGTCTCTCAGAAGGAGCGATCAGACTGTGTGTGTGTCCCAGTCCTGTGTGGTCAGGGATGTGATGTGGGGTTGCCGGGGGAGACAGTGCGGTACCTTAAGAGGGTGAGGGTGTGTGAGTCTGCTCTGCTGTGGAGAGACGACATCAACCTACTGCAGCTCCACCACAGAGGAAAACTCTCCCTCACTTTGATGAGGGACGATGTGCTCAACAGGTACACGCAAATGCACATACACACACACATACACACACACGCGCACACACACAGAATTGATGGGATAAATCATTTGGTTGATATTTTGCGTGTGTTTGTACATTTGGGTGTCTGTATTGTCTGATGTGTGTATTTAGATGGTATACTATGAAAGTGTGTATTTATTGTTTCAGACAGGCCCTGAGGGCTTTGTGCAGATGTAGTGTAATGATCCCATCCCCCTGTCTGATCCAGCTCCGACTATGAAGCTCTGGAGTCCAGCATCCTCCGAGTGGTCCATCACCACGAGCAACGGGCAGGAGAAGAGGGGGTGTTGTCCATGGTGATGGTGGTCGCCAGGGAGATTCTTCAAGAGGCAGCGGAGCAGATCTGTGCGCCGCTGGGGGAGCTCTTAGGAGGTGAGGGCCGATGGCGCCCTCCTGGGGGTAATGGGCCGATGCAGGACACACACAAAGACCCCCGATATGACTCGGTTAACACCCACCAGGAGAGAGGGTGTGTGAGTGTGTGTGCATGGAGGAGGGATGGGACTGAAGAGTAACAAGTCATGACATCTAGACAGAAAGAGAATAGAAGAAAGAGTTTCAGAATGTGTAAATGTGCGTCTGCCCGTGTGTGTGTTTTTTCCGTCCCCTCTGGGTTTTTTGTGTTTGACACTTTAAACACAGCTTTATGATTCACTACCTCTGACATGGCAGGTGTGTGCGTGCGTGCATGCGTGAGTGCATGGTGTGTATGTGACTGTGTAAGTGCATGTGTGTGTGTGTGTTATTCCCCCTGCCAATAAATCAGTCAAACAAGCAACCAAGCAAGCAATCTTGTTAGAGAGGTTAATGACCGATTTTTGTTCTCCATTGCATATCCTGCTTATATGCATTGCAGGGCCCTATGTCTTAGCTGTGATTTACCGGATAGTGTGTGTATGTATGTGTGTGTGTGTGTGTGTGTGTGTGTGTATGTGTGCTGTGGAGAGGAGAACAACTGCCCCTTCTCATTGAAGCCATGAAGTTCAAGGCCGACCGGGGTACTGCAGGCTGTTGTTTTCAGAAAGCAGGATCCCCAATTATAGTGAATGGGAAAATGGCATTCTTCTAGGGCAATATTTGTTTAAATAAATAAAAATGTATGTCCTTGAACCGATTCTTTTAAAATCGCACACAGAATAAGTTATTAGGATAATTTAGTTGCTACCGGCAGCCTGGAGTATCCCGGTCAGCCTTCAACTTGAGATACTCAATGAGAAGAGGCAGTACTGAGCTAGTCTGCAACGTCACTTCCCCGAGTAGCTCAAACTGCGCATGTTATGTCTTGAGAATCCCTCGCATGAGACGCCATCTTAGCAAGCTAAAACCGACTTCCTGTGCTTCAAATGTGCCATTGAGTCTTCACATAGGAATGAATGGTGTGACGTCATCGATGGCTTTGTCCATTCATATACAGTCAATGGTGCTGTGTTTATGGAGCACAGTACCACCCAACAGCTCCTGAGCGTGATTAATTGAACTGATGTCACTGACATCACTTTGTGAGAGTACCTCTGTATGATATGATGGTCTTGATGCAGTGTCCCTGAGATATTTGCAGCCTGTACATTTTTCCTCCAGGTCGTTTCAGGGCCATTTACAAACATAATAGGATGGAATGGTCTAATATTACACCAATGACTGAATATCAGTTTGTTTTTGATGTAGCCGGTTTTTGTTTTCTCAGAGGCCCTGCGGCTGCAGTCAGAGGGGATGTGGATCAAAGATGGCCACCGCTCGGTGGACCTGGAGGAGCTGCTGAGGGCATTGGAAGAGAGGAGCAGCATCTCACCCTATGATGTCACAACCGGTCCTAACGCTGGCGAGGCCCAGCTTCAAGGTTTGTGTTTACAGCTGGCTGGATTGTGGCTATTCGAGTAGTGTAATGTAATCTACATTACATAGTGTAATGTGTCTGTCTGTGTGTCTGTCTGTCCGTCCGTCCGTCCGTATGTCTGTCTGTGTGAGGCGATGTAACTCATGAAGTGGAGAATTTAATTGGAATTAGGCTGTTTGGGAAATTGTAAAATATTTAGTTGAAATTGAATTAGAATTCAGAATTGAATTAAACTTGAATTCAATGACATGTACTTTGTATACACTGAGTGTACTAAACATTAGGAACACCTGCTCTTTCCATGACTGTCAATGCTGAGGTTTATGCGGCGCTGAAGTCAGGTGCAGGACACAGAGGATCAGTAACGACTACTTTACTTTCCAAAGTAAAATACGCACAAAACAAAAGCCTCCAAACACAAGAGGAGAAAAGTACGCGGAGTGCGTAATAAACAAGATGGTCAATGCCGAACATACATACAAGAGACGCGGACAATAACACACAAAGGCAAACATAAAACAAGGGAACTTATATGGTACATAATCAATACAGAATACGAAACAGGTGTACCAACTAGACAATACAAGACAAACATCGAAACATTGAGCGGCAGTAGCTAGTACTCCGGGGACGACGAACGCCGAAGCCTGCCCGAGCAAGGAGGAGGAGCAGCCTCGGCGGCATCCGTGACAGTACCCCCCCCCCCTTGACGCGCGGCTCCAGCCGTGCGCCGACCCCAGCCTCGGGGACGGCCAGGAGGACGCGGAGCAGGGCGCGTGGGATGACTCCGGTGGAACTCCGTCAGGAGGGAAGGATCTAAAATGTCCCTCCTAGGCACCCAGCACCGTTCCTCCGGACCGTACCCCTCCCACTCCACGAGATACTGCAGACCCCCCATCCGACGTCTCAAATCCACGATGGACCGGACTGAGTACGCCGGAGCCCCCTCGATGTCCAGTGGGGGCGGAGGAGTCTCCCGTATCTCATTGTCCTGGAGTGGACCAGCTACCACCGGCCTGAGGAGAGACACATGGAACGAGGGGTTAATGTGATACTCATTATGCAGTTGTAACCTGTAACATACCTCGTTCAATCTCCTCATGGACTTTAAATGGCCCACAAACGCCCGACCCAGCTTCCGGCAGGGGCAGGCGAAGGGGCATGTTTTCCGAGTCGAGAGCCAACTCGATCTCCAGGTGCGTACCCCCGGAACCCCCCAATTTCCCGGTTTGGGGATCACGCTCCCCCTTTTTTGCCTCCGGGTACCCGCCCCTTTCCCGAAAGTACAAAGCCGCACGTTCCATGTCTCCCTCCCAGCCCCGAAACCCCCTCATCCCAACCCCCAGGAAACCCCCAATCCTGGCTCTGATTCCTGGTGCCAGAAACCCCGGGTGTTTCCCCCCAAAACAAAACTGGGAAAGGGGGCCCAATTTGTAAAGGGAAAGGGGAAAGGGGGTTTTTCCCGGGCGATCTCTGGCCCCCCGGGGGATTTTAACCCCCGACCACCCCCCCCCTGCCCCGGGGGCCCGGCAATAAAATCCCCAGAAAAACCCACCCACATCCTGGTTTTACCCCTTTTTCCACCTGCCCCCTTACCCCTTTGGGTGGAAAACCCCAGGTTTAAAGGGTTAAAAACCCAGACCCCCCAAGCCCCTTTCCCTTAACGCCCCCCCCAACTCTTTGAGGTGAAAGGGGGCCCCGATCAGACCCTATAAAACCTCGGGTTCCCCCCAGTGCCGGGAAAACGTTGGGGAAACAAAGCTCCAGTCCCCCGTTTGGGCAGTTTGGGAAACCCCGGGAAATTTGGGGGAGGCGACATGGCCTTAAAAAACCGAAACCCAAAAGACCAAAAATAGTGGTAATTTTTTTCCCCGGGAAGGGGGAAGGGCCCCCCAAAAAATTCCCCACCGATAGGGGAGACCACGGCCCCTTTTTGGAACGGGGAAGGGGGGTTTTTTTTCCCCTGGGCAGGTGTCTTGGGGCCTTTTTCAAAATTAGCCCCACAAACCCAGCCCGGAGGAACATAAACCCTAAAGTCCCCTTTGCCAAATTTTGGCCCCCCATACTTTTTTTTACTAAGGCATTTCACTGTCCGGGCCCAAAACCCCCGGAAATTTTCCCAAAGGAAAGGGGGACTATGAGCCCAAAAAATTAGACTCCGACCTCCGAGGGGGAACGTCCTCCCCCCCCGCTGGGGGCACTCTGGAAGGGGGTAGGGTCGGGCGTTTAACCCCCCCCCCCCGATTTTTTTTCCCATCGACCCCCCCCACACCACCGGGGCCCCCCAGACAAGACCCCCGGGGAGTAAAAGGGAAATGGGCCCCAATTTTACCTCTCCCCCTTGTCATAAACGCCGGGACAATTTCCCTCTGCCTTAAAAATTCTGGGACCCCCGGGTGTTTAAATGGGGCCTTTTTTTTTAAAAAACCCCCGGGCCCCCAAAACAAAGGGCCCCCCTAGCCTGACGAGGGGGTTTTTTCCCCCCTACTGCCCGGTGTACCCGGTTACATGGTCCCTCAGAAAAAGAAAAGGGTGTTTAGCCCCCCCTCCAAACCCCAAAGCCTTCCCCCAAAACCCTTTTTGGGGTTTTAACCCCGGCTTAAACAGCCCCCCGTCCCCCACGTCATAAATTCTTTCCGCCGGGGGCCCTGGGGGGGGAAGGGGGCCCCTTCTTTTCGAA